GCAGATGAGTATTTAGGACACCCCGTCACACACACAGAGATTCTGCCCACGGTAAGGGCACTGGTGCTGAGGCCCCTTGCCAGTCGGAGCTAGCACAACCCACCCTGGATGGAGGGTGTCTGGATTGGGTGGAGGAGTCTGGCCCTGGCTTACCCCTGGGTCAGTCGAGACCCAGCACAGGTCTCCTTGTTTCCTCTGCAGTTCTTCCTACCAGCATCGCTGGACTGTCCACCCTGGGCTCCCAATGTGTCCTCCATTGCTTTCAACCTCTCCTGGCAGCTCCCTGGGTCCCTGCCCCTCCTCAGTGTCCCAGTAAGTGTTCCTCAGTCACCTCCTGCAAACCCTTCCGCAGCAACCCCCTCCATGCCCTGTGTGTGTGTGTGTGTGTGTGTGTGTGTGTGTGTGTGTGATAGAGAGAGAGAGGCCACCTGGCCCCCGGGCAGGCCCTGGGAGGGACTGGACAGGAGCCCGCGGGCGTCCCTGGCCGCTGCCCAGGGGCAGGTGCACGCCTGAGCTCCTTGCCTGGCGCCCTAGTACTCCATGCACTGCTGCGTGCTGGGCTCCCTGTCCTGCTCCCTCTTTCTGCACATGAGCTTCGAACTCAAGCTGCTGCTGCTGCTGCTCTGGCTCGTGGCCTCCTGCTCCCTCTTCCTGCACTCCCACGCCTGGCTGTCCGACTGCCTCATCGCCCGCCTCTACGTGGGACCCTTGGACTCCAGGTGCGCATGGTTGCCGGACAGGCCCTCAGGGACAGGGCTGAGATGAGACACAGTGGAGCTGGGCTTGCCTCACTCACCTGAATCACCTACAGGGCAGAAGCGGAGGGAGGCTGAGAGTGTCGCGGGTGCTGGGGGCAGGGAGGAGGCCAGCGGGAAGGGACAGAGAGAGGGACAACCCCGCTCTGTGGCCTCCACAGGCCGGGCGTGCTGAAGGAGCCCAAGCTGATGGGAGCCATCTCCTTCTTCATCTTCTTCTTCACCCTCCTTGTCCTGGCTCGACAGGTGAGTCACCCAGCTCAGCGCCCTCCTCCCCAGGGCCTCCTTATGAGTGGTGAGGTTGAGGTCCCTGTATTTGGGACTTGGTCGCTCTCATCTTCAGGATTGAGCCCAAGTGGCCATTGGAAGCTTCTAGGCAAGCAGTCCTGCTACCTTTCTCCTTCACTGCCCAAAGGGGGCGCCCTCGAGTTCTCTCCTCTTTCTGCTCACGCTTCCAGTTCTGCACACACTAATCTGAATCCGGTTTCAAGCGCAGTCTCTCTGCAAAGACAGTTGCACCCTTTGCCTTTTCTCTAAACTCGAGGCAGCAGGGGTCGGGGTGGGGGATGAGCGCTCAGGAGCTGGGGCTTCCCCCGGCCCCCCGGTGACCTTCCCCAGAATGAGTATTACTGCCGCCTGGACTTCCTGTGGAAGAAGAAGCTGAGGCAAGAGCGCGAGGAGACAGAGATGATGGAGAATCTGACCCGGCTGCTCTTGGAGAACGTGCTCCCTGCACACGTGGCCCCCCAGTTCATTGGCCAGAAACGGCGCAACGAGGTGAGTCCGAGCCCAGACGCCACAGGGATTAACTATGCGTCGGGATCCTTAGCTCGTCCTCTCTGCACCTGGTGGGACAGGAGGTTGCCCCAGGCTTTGCCCTCGACAAAGACTTATTTATTTGAAAGGCAGAGTTCCAGAGAGAAGGAAAGACAGAAAAGAGAGAGATCTTCCATCTACTGATTCACCACCCCCAGAGGCTGCAGATGGCCAGGGCTGAGCCAGGCTGAAGCCAGGAGCCAGGAGCTAGGAACTTCTTCCAGGCCCGAGCACCTGGGCCATCTTCCACTGCTTTCCCAGGCGCGTTAGCAGGGAGCTGGATCGGAAGTGAACAGCCTGGACACAACCAGGGCCCACATGGGATGCTGGTATCGCAGGTGGGGGCTTTCCTCAATGCCAGGCCCAAGGAGTGTCTTTTCTAACTCACAGCTACTCCATACCTTTCAGATGCTTAGTCATGTGTTGATGGGAGTTGCCTGGAGGATACAGTCCACCCGTCTGTCTAGACCTGCTCTATATAATATGGTAGCTACTAGCCGTGTAGCCACTGAAGTTACTTAAAACAAAAAAATTCAGTTCCTCAGTGGCGCTAGCCACATTTCCGGTGCTCAGCAGCCACATACGGCTGGTGGCCACCAAATTAGGTGGTGCGTTTATGAAACATTTCCATCATCACAGAGCTTCCTATTGGTACTGCTGTAATGCCTCAGCAATCTTGCTCCAGTCACACCATCAGCAAGTTACCCACGTGTTTGGACCACCTCATTTGTACCACCCCCACCTGGCCCTTTGTGTTAGAAGTGTCCTCCACTATGCTGAGGGATGTCAGAAGAAACAATTCAGGGGCTGTGCACGGCCTTCTAACCCAACTGCCTGCTCTGGTCTCAAGACCAGTAGTTCTGGGGCCACAGCTGTGGTATAGTAGGTTAAACCAATGCCTGTGGCACTGCATCCCATATGGGTGCTAGTTCAAGTCCCGGCTGCTCCACTTCTGGTCCAGCTCTCTGCTATGGCCAGGGAAAGCAGTGCTTGGACCCTGTGGGAGACCCAGAAGAAGCTCCTGGGTCCTGGCTTCAGATTGGCCCAGATTCGGCCGTTGAGGTCATTTAGGGAGTGAACCAGCAGGTGGAAGATCTTTCTCTCTCTCTCTGCTTTTCAAATTAATAAATAAATCTTTTTTTAAAAGACCTATGGTTCTTTCTGTTTCTCCTGGTTTATTCTCTTACAGACACAGGGACTCTTTTCACTATCCTGTTTCTGTCTTCACATTGGCTTCCAGGAAGCTCAGAGCCAGGATCTAGGACTAAGAAGGCTTATTGGCACCCATGATGTGAACCAACCTCACCACATCTCATCCCATCCTTATCATCTTACTCTTGTTCTCCCTCTGCCCCGTATTCACTGTTGTTGCCTGGTTTTATCTCTGTGAGCTGACTTAGCACCCCTCAGCAATCAGAAAGGATATAAAAAATAATTCCCAGTTGTAGCTGTGACTCCTTTCACGTGGCTGTGAGGCGTTCCTGGCCCCGACTTCTGTCTCCCCTAGAATCACAATGAGACCCAATACTTGACTGCTGAGCCACATCTCTGGGGTGACCTGGCCCTGCTCTCCTCTCCCCTTCCCAGTGGCTCCTGAGTGGGGGACCAGGAGTGTGGGGACCAGAAGAGGGGCCCCATGCAGCCCCAGAAAGGGGGAGATGTGCGCACACCCCTCACCCCGGCCTCCTGCCCCCAGGACCTCTACCACCAGTCCTACGAGTGTGTTTGTGTCCTCTTCGCCTCCATCCCAGACTTTAAGGAGTTCTACTCGGAATCCAACATCAACCACGAAGGGCTCGAGTGTTTGCGGCTACTCAATGAGATCATTGCTGATTTCGATGAGGTGACAAATCTCAGGGCCCCCAGATCCATGGCCTGCAGTCTAGAGCTCCCCCGTAGTCCCTCCCCCCACCCCTCCACTTTGCAGTCCTGGCCCATCCTCCCCTCCCTGGCGCTCCCTCTCCTCCTCTGATGCCCCAGCTATACCCATCGCCAACACTCTCCTTCCTGCAACCATTCCCAAACCCACAGCCTGGCCCTTTAGCCCCCCAGAAACCTGGTGCTGGGCTTCGGGGAGAGGGGAGGGCAGGAGCAAGAGACTGAGGTACGGCCTCTTCTCTGGACAGCTGCTCTCCAAGCCCAAGTTCAGCGGGGTGGAGAAGATCAAAACCATCGGCAGCACCTACATGGCAGCCACAGGCTTAAACGCCACCTCTGGCCAGGATGCCCAACAGGTCCAGCAACAGGTACGGCGATGCTTCCTTGCCTACCAAGCCTCCTCTGGGCTCTCATTGGTGGGCCCGTAGTGGGACTTACGCCTGTGCCCTCACGGGCTCATCCTCGTGCGCAGGCCCACTGCCAGGATGCTGAGCGAAGCTGCAGCCACCTTGGCACCATGGTGGAATTTGCAGTGGCCCTGGGGTCCAAGCTAGACGTCATCAACAAGCACTCGTTCAACAACTTCCGCCTGCGTGTGGGTAAGGGCCTCCCCTGCTGGGGCAGTCTGGTGCCTCCTCACTGTTCTAAGCTCTTCCTGCTCCAAGTCCTCAACTGCTCTCTAGTTCACCCCTGTCCAGACTCACTCCCGGGGACGGGCATGAGGCCGATGGGCCAGGAGCTACCTGGGGCTCATATTCCCTCTCCTAAGCCACACTCCTCCCTCACCAGAGACCACACCTGGCCTCTCGGCCCCGAGGCCCTCTCCTTCCTCCCACTTCCTTCCCCCCTCCCTCCTTGATGCTGCCCCCACCAAGACCCCTGTTCACCACATCCTTTGTCAGGGCTGAACCACGGACCAGTAGTGGCTGGAGTCATTGGGGCCCAGAAGCCACAATATGACATCTGGGGCAACACGGTGAATGTGGCCAGCCGCATGGAGAGCACCGGAGTCCTGGGCAAAATCCAGGTGAGGGCGCCCCCGCTGGTGGCCTAGTTGCAGGGGGGATGAGGAGAGGCCCACTCCCATGCTCACTCATCGTCCCTCGATTGCAGGTGACTGAGGAGACAGCCCAGGCCCTGCAGTCGCTGGGCTACACCTGCTGCATTCGGGGCATCATCAAGGTCAAAGGCAAAGGGCAGCTGCGCACCTACTTCCTGAACACGGACTTGACGCGAACTGGGCCTCCCTCAGCCACCCTGGGCTGAGACACTCCTCCAGGATCTTCCACGAAAAGGCTCTGAGACGTCTGAAGCCAGCTGCTGATAGACCTAGAGACGGCCTCCTCCTTACCTGTCAGCAGGGCGGTTTTTCCCCAGGCCAAACTGAGCATGCTGGAAGCGAGCGATTCTTTTTCACAAGGTCAAGAGAGAACGGCCTCGGCCTCGCTACCAGCCTGCTTCCACTCGTCTGTACACCTCGGAAGCATAAAGAATTTTAGCCACATAACTTGAGTCTCTGCTGCTCCCCACCCACAAACATCAGAAGGAATCTCCAAGGAAATATCATTTCGCCTTTATTCATGCAGCAAATGCCAAAGAAGCACCTATCATATGCTTGCGATGCAGAAGAGACAAGGGGTGGAGGATTAGCTTGGGTGTCCCGTCCCCCCAAGTTGCACCTGCTGTCCTCAGATTGGCCAGTCACACTTTGCAGTAAGGAGCTGTGGGCAATGTGGGTGTTCTGTCCTCAGGTCACCGGATGGCCTCCTTCCTTGCTTTGCCGCCTTCTGCCTAGATGCTGCCACTTTTATATGTCTTGAAGCACGGGGATGTTTCCTTTTCACCTGCTCCTATTTTGGAGGTCCATGGGAGGCAGCTTAATACCCAAGTTGTGTTGCAGATGTTGTATGTGGATTTTTGATTTTGGTCTCCTAGTTGCTTCTTCTTCTTCTTCTTCTTCTTCTTCTTCTTCTTTTTTTTTTTGTTCCCCTCTAACGGGAAAGCTCCCTAAAGTACACTGCTGCCACCACTACCGCCTCTTCCTAAAATGCCAGCATGGCCTGGGCCGAAGCTCTCCTAGACAAGAACGGGAAGCAAGGGCTCGTCCCTGTCGCTTTCAGAAATCTTTGTCTCCTAGCGGTGACAATGGCCACAGCAGGTGCCAGGGTTTGTCCTGGGGCTGGGCAGATGCTCTTGTGCCGAGTTCTAGGCGCTGAGATCTCATGACCGCTTCCCTAGAACGCAGAGAATCAGGCAGGAAGCTGGACAGAGACCCGTGCGGCTGCAGGCTGAGGGACACTGTATGCGGCGCTCTTTTCTCACAAGGCCTCGGGTCACGGGGGTCTTGGACGTGAGTCCGCTTGAGTGGTCCTGGACAGCCTGCTTTAGGCTCGCTAGACTTTTTCCAAGTGTGACCCACAGACTTCTGCCCTCAGATTCATGGGTGTGTGTGTGTGTGTGTGTGTGTGTAACTGGATTGTTCTGTCTGTGGGTCCTTTCCAAAACTGAATCATGGGGAGGTTGGGACTCTTGAGAGCGTTTAGTTCAGGCACCAGGAACAGCCCAGTGCCCTCTAACGCACACACAGACGCCCCACCCCTAGGGTTGAGTTCGGTTTTCAGGGGGATGCTGCCAGGCCAGAGGTGCCCTCACCCCAGCCCCCTGTGCAGGCACAACATTGGCCAGGCTGGCGGGGGTGGTGGGCAATCCGCCAGTTCCCCTGCTCAGTTCACTCCAGAGGATTAGTGGAGACAGTGAGGCTCTCGGCGGGGCCAGGCTCCGGGGAGGCGGGGGTGTCCCTCACGGTGTGGCCCAGGGTGCCCCCGCGGCGGGAGCTGGACACCTCGGAGGCTGTGGCCTCCAGCAACTTGGCGACAAAGCCCACGCCAGCCCTGCGCAGCAGGCTGCCGCCGGCGCACGCGTACAGCACGGGATTCACGCTGCTGCTCAGGAAGGCCAGCGTGATGAGCACGTTGCGTGCAAGGAACAGCCGCTGGCCCGTGGGTCCTGCCCAGGCCGGCTGACCTGCCAGCGCCCGGGCCGCCTCGGCCATGTTCACCACGTGGTAGGGCAGCCAGAAGGCAGCGAAGGCCAGGATGATGAGCACCACCAGGCGGCCGGTGCGGCGGCTGCGGCGGAAGCGCCGGGCCTGCAGACGGCGCCCGATGTCCGAGTAGCTGGCCACCACGGCCAGGAAGGGCAGCAGGAAGCCCGTGAGGGCCTCGAAGAGCAGGTGGAAGGCCCTGTGGCTTTTGCTGGGGTACAGCGGGAAGCAGACAAGGCTCCTGTTGTCTGGTCCCAGGCTCACCTTGCGGTACACGAAGACCGGCGTGGCCAGCAGGAAGGACACCACCCAGATGCCCACCAGCACCCGCAGGACGATCGCCTTGGTGCGCAGCTTCTGGGACAGAAAGGGGCGGGCCACGGCCAGAGAGCGGTCCAGACTCATGGCCGTGATGAGCAGGACACTGGCGTACATGCTGACTCCGCAGATGTAGTAGAACAGGCCACAGCCGGCCTGTCCAAAGCACCAGGTGCCCCGGGCCACGTAGTGCAGGAAGAAGGGAGCCGTGAGCAGGACGGCCAGGTCGGCCAGGGCCAGGTTCAACACCAGCAGGGCAGTGACGGAGCGCTTCTGCATCCTTTTCAGGATGCTCCACACCACAAAGCTGTTGCCAGGCAGCCCCACAACCAGCGCTGTGGACAGCAGGATGATTGACAGCAGAGAGATGTAGGAGGAAGCCCCCGAGGAGGAGGCCAGGGGGGAGGTAGTGTTCATGGCCATGGCGGGGACCTGGAGGGTGAGGGCGGACACGCGCATGAGGGCAGGAGCATTTCCTGACACCCTGGACACTGTCACCTGAGAACTTTGATCTGCCTCCAAGGGGAGCAGCAGCAGAGGCACCTCGGCCACCTTCTGCCCCCACCCCCGGGTTGCTGCTGACTTAACCTGCCTGGAAAGGACCTGATTCCGCAGAAAACACTAACTTCTGAACTGGGCCACGGGGCCCCTTCCTGCCTGCAGACCCAATTGCAAAACATACAGTGACAGCGGCAGCAGCCCTTCAGCTTCCTTCTCCTAGGGAGACCCTGAAACACAGATCCAGAGACCCAGAGACTTTCCTCGCCAGGGCTGCGCCCCTGGCAGGCTAGCTCCTGTGTCCCCTGCCTGTACCCTAGCCCCTCAACCCCGGTAACTCCCCCCGGTCACCTGCTCACACTCCCCGAGAGGCCCCGGGTCCCCCAGGAACCACAGTGCCCAGGGAACGAGGGCAAATGCACCCGACTGCTTTGCCACTGGCCGGGCTTTTCTTGGGAGACTGCTTTGCACCTTCACTCGTGGCTGTGAGCATCCCCTCCCTTCCCCTCCCCTCCCCACACCTGCCCCAAGATACTTACAAGCTTCGCCAGGCACTGGCCGGAAGCTGGTGCTGATCCCACGGTCAGGGCAGAGTGCTATAGCCTATCTTTGGATCTGCCCAGTGCCAGGGGCTCCTGGCCCTGGTTCTGGGTACTGTAGCTAATTCAGAGAGGAAGTACCACAGGACAGGGGAGGCGGGAGCAGCAGAGGGGGAAGACCCATCTTCCTGAGGGTGGGTCCACCCCCTCCCTTCCCTAGGAGGGGGGATGGCACTGCACTCCAGGGCCACGGAGCAGGGGAAGAGGACTCCACAGGGGTGGGGCCAAAAGAGAGGGACCCAGGAAGGGGCAGTGGGCGAGGAAAGAAGGGCATGGGGAGCGACTAGGCTGGGGTGCGGCCTCAACATGCAGGTGTGGACTGGAGAATTCAAGGTCATAAGTGGGGTCTGTAGACATAGGGAAGAAGCCAGAGAGGGAAAGGGGCCAGAATGCTGGTATCCACCCACACTTCCCAGTGTATCAATGCAAACGTCTGTGCGCTTCATGCCAACAGCACTTTTTAAAATGTTTTTCACAGAAAAAAGTAAATGCTGGGATAGGCTGGCCTGAACAGGAGGAGAGGAGGGAGGGTCCGGGGGCCCTCGGGCCACCTGCAACAGAGCAGGCCAGCATGCAGAAGAGCCCCTTCCCCGGATGGAGGGACGTCTCCTTTCCTGACACCTCCCGCAGGAGGCAGGAGCTGAAAATGAAAACTCCTTTCAGCCTGCCAGGAGCCTTGTGGCCTCCCTTTTAACACCAGCGCCGCTCGGGTCCGTGGCCCTCGCCAGGGCCCTAACTTGCTTGACTTAATAATAATAAATAAATTTTAAAAGCCAGAGTGGCGTTTACCCAGCAGGCGTCAAGCCGAGGATATGATGAAAAGAAATTGGGCTGAAACCACAACAAGAACTGAACACAGAGCAGAGGAAGGGCTTTCTGACCGCACAGGGTGTCTGAAATGGGGAATATGTAACAGGAAGTTAGGAAACCTTGCCCCACAGCCCCATCACACACAAGGACAGGAAGAAGCCCCAGCAGTCGGGGCTTCGGGATAGAAGCTTCTGGCTCAGGGCTCTTGGGCCAACCAGAGGGCCCTTCAGAATTGTCTAGCCCTTCTCTCAGGCTGCTCCCCACCGCAGCTGCCCCCATGTCCCTTCTTTCTCCACCCAGGGCTAGGTGGTTTAAACCCACTTCCTGCTGCCCTTGTTCTGAGCTCCACTCCAGGCTCAGTGTTGGTGGCCTCAATAGGACCCTGGGGACTGGACTACCCTCGTTCTCATGACCTGTGCCAGGGCACAGGCGGTTGTGTGAACTAACGGACAGGCTGGGGTGATGGCCTGGGGAGCCACTTGGGTGGCCACCTCAGTTTGCTGGGGACACTGATGGGGCTGGGACAAGGGATTCCCGGTGCTAAAACTGAAGAAGTGCTGGGCCGACTGAAACAGGTTGATCATTGCAAAAACCACATGGATGTGCACAAGAATCCCATTCTGCACCTCCCATGTCTGGAGTGTCTGGACCCAGACCAGGTTCTAGACCTAGAGGTAGAAAAGGCAGGGGATGAGAGGTGCTGGGGGAGGGGTCGGGGAGAGCCCGGCCGTCTTGGCAGAGAGGAAGGAGAGAAAGGAGAGGTGGCATACCTCTCCTGCACACAGCCTGCTATTCCCGGCACCCCCTCCTCACCAGCCCTCAAACGTCCCCCACCTGAGTGAGTCATTGACGATGCTCCTGTGGCCTTTGGGGGAGGTCAGTGTCTGATGCCCAGGGCCCCAACACCCTGTCTCTCCTTGTGACCCCTCTCCCAACCGCATCAACAATAAGCAGGAGAACCCGCCACCCCCACAGCGTCACTCTCCCCTTCCAGAGCCAGTTTCCCCCCTTGGGTGGCTCTCACAGACACACACACACACACACACACACACACCCCGAATGGATTCCATCCTCACCTCCCCCCAGGCTCACAACTGTGGCTTCCTCTTTCTTCCTTTACATCCAGAGAGGGAGGTGCTAAGGGCTGGCAGGGCAGGGCCCCGGGAAGGCCCAAGTGACCCAGCGGGGAACCAGGTGGCTTAGGTATAGCTCAGCCATGATGAGCCACCGACAGGAACACACTTGGGTCATCCTCTAGTGGCTTCCCGGAGAGTTTCACAGTCATAGCTACTGGCAGAGGGCGAGCAGCGCCGGCGGGCGGGTACACACCAACTGCAGGTGCAATGTCTGCTCACATGAGCCATCCTCATCCTCACAAGCCCTCAAGTGACCGTCCTCCGTCGAAGTGTCCCCAGATGCTCCCGAGAGGCGACTTCCAGGAGGGGACACAGAGAGGGGCGGCGCCGAGCAGGCGTGGTGCAAGGTTTGGTGTCAAAGGTCCCAATCCAGACTGCCCCTATGCTGCCCGCCCCCAGGGTCCCCGTTGTCCTGGCCCTGGCCCACCACCTGTAGGCGAGGAGTCGTTCGGAGCTCCATGGTCCCTTCCCTGGAGCGGCTGCCCCCTCGGGCCTCCCCGGAGCCCTCGAAGAGCTTCATGAGGAACCGCGGACCCGCGCGGGGCAGCAGGTCCCCGGCGGTGAAGACGTAAAGCAGCGGGTTGACACTGGAGCTGAAGAAGGCCAAGGCCGTGGTGCCCGCCCGCGCCGCCTGGCCCGCGCCGCCGAGCCTGGCCAAGGTCCCCTCGGGCGGAGCCAGCGCGGCGGCCGCCTGCACCAGGTTGACCGCGTGGTAGGGAGCCCAGAGTAAGCCGAAGGCCAGTACGATGGCGCTCACGAGCCGGCCCACGCGGGTGCCGCGGCGCCCGGAGCGCCAGCGCGCGGCCCGCAGCCGCGCCAGCGTCACGCCGTAGCAAACGAGCACCAGCCCGAAAGGCAGTACGAAGGCCGTCAGAGTCTCCAGGCTCAGGTGCACGGCGGCGTGCGCCGGCGATGGGTGGCACAGCTGGCATATGCGGTCCCCCCAGAGGTGGCGGTAGACGGCGGCCGGCAGGGCGAGGAGCAGGGCGGCCAGCCAAACGGCCAGCAGCAGACGGCGGGCCAGGGCCGGGCTGCGCAGCCGCGGAGCCAGGAAGGGGTGAGTGACGGCCAGGCAGCGCTGCAGGCTGAGCAGCCCGGTGAGCAGCACGCTGGCGTACATGCTGAGCGCGCACACGTAGTACACCGCCTTGCAGCCCACCTGGCCCAGCGGCCACGCCTGGCCTGCCAGGAAGGCCACGAAGAGCGGCGTGAGCAGCAGCACCGCGCCGTCGGCCAGTGCCAGGTGCAGCACCAGCGTGGCCGCCAGCGGCCGCCCCCGCGCCGGCCGCCAGCCCACCAAGCTCCACACTACGAAGCCGTTGCCCGGCAGCCCCAGCAGTGCCGCCACGAGCAGGAAGGCCATGCCCGTGGCCCGCGAGGCCTTCCAGCTCAGCAGCGTCTCGTTCCCCGGTGGACGGTAGCACGGCATCATCCTTCTGCGCCTACAGGGGACTGTAAGGGGCACAGACGGTGCTCAGGGGTCGGGTGGGGGGGGAGCCCAGCCACCGCTGACGCCTGGTGAGAGGGGACTGTGCCTCCCTTACTTGCCCACCTGCAGCCTAGTGCGTCTAGCCCGGAGCCCTGTCTCCCATGAGGACCCGGGGCCCCAGCACTGCTCCTTGAAACCCAGATCCCCCTCCTCCCCCACCCGACTCCTGGCTTCCCTGAGCCCCCAGTCCTCACTCTAGCTGTTGCTGTCTCCGTCTACCACTCTAGCCTGGGTCCTCCTTCTGTGTCCAGCCCCATTCCTCAGGGCAAAATTGGGCAAGGGCAGACCCACTTACCCAGGTGTGGGGGGGCAGGGATGGGGTCCCGCGAAGGGCCCGGGGATTCCACGAGGTAAAGCCGCTGTGGGTGAATGCCTACTTCTGTCTGCTGCCTGTCAGGTTTGCAAGAGGGTGAGGCCAGCATAGGGAGGGACAAGATGAGGCTCATCCCTCATCCTGCACCCTCCCATGGCTTACACATGCAGGCTTGTAGGAGCCTGCCTCCCCAGGAAACAGGCTAAGCCGGAGAGGCACACACAAGCTTCCCTGGCTGGGGAGGGAGAAGGGGTACTCTGCTGCTGCCTGAGCATGGCTCCTGCTTCTGCCCTCCTGCCTCCGCCCAGCCCTGCCCAGTCCTGCCCAGTCCTCCAGCCCTCCTTTCCCCGCACTTTTGTTCTCTGGCCTCTGCGGCCTGCACTCGGCAGAGCAGGTGATGCAGGCAACTCATTGTCCCAGCGGCTCTCACTGCCTGTCTTCAGTCTCCTGGCTCTGCTGAGCTCCCCTTTGTCCCCAGCCCCCAACCCACCCCCTCATCTCTTGTATTGGGCCCTGCCCCAATCATCCCACCCTCAGGGCTCTCCCTGGGCTGTTAATGACAGCTTTTCAGCGGAAGGCATGGTGCTGGGTTCTGGGGACAACTGGGGGTGCATGAGGCCTAAGGGACTTTAACAAACCTGAAGAGACTGTACTGCCAGACTTCTCAGGACACAAGACCGGAAGAAAGGCAGGGTGCAGAGGTGGAGACACTGCAAGCCCTGTCCTCTGCAGAGGTCAGGAAAGCTCGGCCATGAAGATGCTTGCGGGGGACCTGGTGGGTGGGTAGAGTTGAAGGAAGGGAAAACCAAGGCCTCTGCTCAGTCACCAGCCAGAATTGGGAGTTCCCTGGGATCAAGGACACTGAGAGCATTGCCTTACTTCAGGTGTGTCCAAAGTGGAGTCTGAGTTGAGGGCCTGGGGACAGGTGATCCTGGATTTGGAGGGTCAGCTCAGGAAGCAGGAGCGGGGGAGCAGGGAAAGACGGGAGAGAGGAGAGCCAGTGCGAGCATGGAGTTGAGTCCCTGGTGTAGGCCTTGGCGACCTCTGGGACGCGTACAGAATGCCCAGGACACAGAACGGGGACATTGCTCGTTGTCCGAGGACTATCCTGGAGGCATTAGCACCCCTGTACATGCAGTCTGTACTTGTCAGGGACTGACTGGGCTCCCACGGCTTCCGATAAAGCTTGTTCCATCTGGACCAAGCCCCACAAGTAACAGCAGGAGAATTCCCAGAAGGCTGTGCCCCAAACCATTCTGAGATGGAGCTTGCTGGGATCCCAAAGAAAGAAGCACTGAATGCAGGGTGATTAGTCCAGAGCTTTGTGCAGCCTCGCGACAGACAGCGAGAGAAATGGATATTCACCTGGGTACGTCCACAGAGGATCAGGGCAAGGCGTTTATATAAAAGTGTAAGGGTTTGGGCTCAGGGCTGAGGCTAGTTTCTTTGTGTTTTGGACAATGACCTAAACACTTTTATCAGTGCCTGGGAATGTCCAGAGACCCGGCTTGGGCTCAAGCCTGCAGGAGAAATGAGGTTGGCCAACGACACCAAGAAGGCAAAGGACTGCTTCTTTTTCTTTCATTTTCTTTTTTTAAAGATTTATCTAATTGAAAGGCAGAGTTACAAAGAGAGAGAGATTTTCCATCTGCTGGCTCACTCCCCAAATGGCCACAACGTCCAGAGCTGAAGCGATTGAAAGTCAGGAGCCAGGAGCTTCTTTTGGATCTCCCTAGTGGGTACAGGGGCCCAAGCACTTGGGCCATCCTCTGCTGCTTTCCTAGGCACATTAGCAGGGAGCTAGATCAGAAGTGGTGCAGTCAGGACTTGAACTGGCGCCCATATGGGATGCTGATGCTGCAGGCAGCAGCTTTACCCGTTAGGCCACAGTGCCGGCCCTGGGCCCGTGTTTCTCAGTCAAGGCACAGAAAGAAAGCACAGGGACCTGGGAGACCTGGGGGACCCTACAGGCTCCTTGGGCAAGAAAACAGAGCCGGCACTCATTTGAGATGTTCCTTGCCAATGAATCTGAGCTTCTACTTGTTATCACAACTACAACTGAGATCAGAGATGGTCACAAGGCACCAGAAGTTTAAGTCCTGGGACCAGAGTTGTGGCACAGTGGGCTAAGTCACCACCTGCAAAGCTTACATCCCATATTCAGAGTGCTGGTTCAAGTCCCAGCTGCTCTACTTCCAATCCAGCTCGCTACAAATGCTCCTGAGAAAGCAGAGGAAGATGGCCCAAGTGCTTAGGCCCTTGCCATCCATGGGGGTAACCCAGATGTAGTTCCAGGCTCCTGGCTTCAGCCTGGCTCAGCCCCAGCCATTGCAGCCATTTGGGAAGTGAACCAGTGGCACGGAAGGTCTCTGTCTCTCTCTGTTACTCTGCCTTTCAAAAAATAAATCTTAAAAAAAAAAAAAAAAAAAAAAAACGCTAAAGTCTTGATGACATCAAAGGATGCCCTGGCCCCATTCACTTTTCCTGTACGTCCATTAACTGGTAAAAAGAGAGAGGCCAAAGAGAAGGTGGCTACTCCAGTTGGGTGGGGCAGGCAGCTCTGGAAAACGAAGCCAGGAAATGTGGAGCCAGTCCTTCCCCTCTACCAAGGAGAAAGGGGCAGACAAGCAGGAGGCCAGGGTCCCAGAGAGGCTCCTGGTGATCCTGGACCCGTGGAGCAGGATCCATCCTCTCTCTCACCACTCCAGGCACTGCCTCCTCTGAGTTCTCTAAGCCCTGCCCATCCTGTTGTCCCCACCCTAAGGCCATTTCCTCACCAGCAGCCCCGCCTCTTTTCCAAAAACTGCAGCTTGTGGCTTTTCCAGGAGGCAGCAGCACAAGAACAGCGCATATCAGACCACACATACCGAGAGCCAGCAACTGGCCCTAGAAATTCCCTCCATAGAACTAAGCACACCAGAGGCCGCATTCCACTATTTCACATCGTTTCTGTTTGCCCTCACCTCACACACACACACACACACACACACACACACGCATGCACGCGCTCTCAGGGCTTTGGCTGGGTACCCCTTCCTCCCCTCCTCCCTCCCTCCCCTTGGACTTTGTCCTTCTTACTGGCTAGGCAGGGGGGCCAGAGTCCGGGCTTGACTCATCCCCACCTCACCAGCGCTGAGACTCCAGCTTTGTCACAGACGACACCACTCCAGCCCGGCAGAGCAGACGGCCACCGCACCCAGCTCTTCTACTGCTTGGTCCACCATGGAGTACCTCTCAGCCCTGAAGCCCTCAGCAGAGGGCCTACTGAGGTGACTTCTAATCCTCCTGGCCACCCTACCATGGGCACACAGCGGGACAACTGCTCCACTCAGCTGCTAGGAGACTCACTGCCCCTCCTCTGCAGTGGGTTTGGTACCGCCCCTGAACTACTAGCCAGGCCCCCCACCCTGTGGTCTCCCCCTCTCTCCTTTGGCTAATCTGCAAACCTAGCTTCCTCCCTCACTAGCCCTCTAGTCACCCCACCTCCTTCATCCCCCTTGCTCTCACCAAGCCCTCCGGGCTCCTTCTCGAACCTTCCTTCCCAACCGTCAGGTCAGTATCTAACATGAGCTCCGAGTTCGGCCGCCGGGTCTGGACCTCAGCACCCCCGCCACGGCCCTTCCGTGTCTGTGATCACAAGCGCACCATCCGGAAGGGGCTGACAGCTGCCACCCGCCAAGAACTGCTTGATAAGGTGAGAGAGCCAAGTGCCCGGATTCTATGGGAAGGACAGCTTAAGAAGAGTGACAACATGGGATGATGAAGCACAAAGGGCCAAGGTCATGCAGCTGCCCCTCTGAGAGCTAAGAGCAGTGGGGATAAACCCAATCATTTCCTCTGTCTTGGGGCCAATTCATTTATTTTCCAGGTAATGGGTTGTTCTTTGGGAGTAAACAGTGGATAGAGGGTTGAAGGGATGGAATTCAGAGGTCAGTATGGTATGGCAACTTCCATATGACAACCCAAGTTCAAATCCTGAGGCTGCCACTTCCAAGCTGTCAACCCCTGTGGAGTTATTCACCCTATTAAAACCTCGGTTTCCTCATCTACAAGATGGGAATGATAATGCAGCACCTCTTAGGGTTGTGAAAAAGAATAAGTGGATAATGTAGGTAAAGCGCTCATAATAGGCACCAAGGGAGGATTCCAACAGGTTAAACATCACTGGCACTGAAAACAGCTCTGGTGGGAGAGAAGGGGCACTGTAGGTAAGAGACTCCAGCTAGTTTATCCGTTGTGATCCAGTAGGAGTGGCTTGGAGGGAAGCAGGGGGAAATGAGACTGGCATGGTAGGAGCAACAGGAGAAAGGGCCAGCCACTAATGAGGGTCCCCCAACAACGAAAGAACCCTGAGAGCTGCAGCCTTCAGAAAGATGGCAAAGCATTAGGAAGTAGTTGCGCTATCCACCAATGCCTAGAGCTGACCTGTGGACGCTGGGCTGCGGGTGGGTGGGAGTGGGCACAGGGTAAGATCTGCCATCTCCCTCTTGCTTCTTGCCACTGGGCAGGCCCTGGAGACCCTGCTGCTGAGGGGAGAGCCAACACTGGTGCTAGAGGAGGATGGGACGGCCGTGGAGAGCGAGGACTTCTTCCAGCTCCTGGAGGATGACACCTGCCTGATGGTGCTGGACTCGGGGCAGAGCTGGAGCCCTGTCAGGGTGAGAGGCCCTGGCTGGGGCTGCTGAAGCCATCACCCCTAACTGCTTCTCACGCCTGACCTCGACCCTGGGAGAGCTGTGGCACTGTCAAGGACAGCACAGAGTGGACAGACAGTCCAGGCGCGGTGGGCCTGACCCTGTGCTGACGAGGATCAATGGTGAGTGTCAGGGTGTGACGGTCCACTGCACTGCCTGGTGTCTTGCAGAGCGGGGTGCTGTCCTATGGCCTGGGCCAGGAGAAGCCGAAGCACAGCAAGGACATCGCTCGCATCACCTTTGACGTGTACAAGCAAAACCCTCGAGACCTCTTTGGCAGCCTGAACGTTAAAGCCACGTTCTATGGGCTCTACACCATGAGTTGTGACTTCCAAGGACTTGGCCCCAAAAAAGTACTCAGGTCAGAGATCAGTGTGTCAAACTTCCCATCCCCTGCAACTGTAGTTCCTTCATCCCTTCGCCTGCACCCACTTAGCTCTCAGTGCGCTCTGCCCTGCTGTACGGCCTCCCGCCGGGTTCCCCTAGTCAGCTCATTTGCCCTCTGCTCTGCAGGGAGTTCCTACGTTGGACCTCCGCGCTGCTGCAAGGCCTGGGCCACCTGCTGCTGGGAATTTCGTCAACCCTTCGCCACTTAGTGGAGGGGGCGGAGCAGTGGCAGCGCCAGGGTCGCCTCCGCTCCTGAGAAGGGGCCGAGCTTCTGCCTCCGGACTCGTTCCAAGGGACTACACTGTGAGGACTGTCAGAGCGTCAGGTTTCACAACCTGCAGGCAAGAAAACACCTAATTTCCCACTGAACTCCGACCCCAGCGTGAGCAGAATGCCTCATACCCTTCACCCCCTTTGCCAAAGAACATGGTCCCATCCTAGCTACGCTGCCAGCCCCCCACTTGCCTGAAGGCCACAAGGCCGTCCCCCCCCGCATCTGATCCCATCCTCACGGCTGCCGCATCTGGCTCCCCTCCAGCTCCTCCTGTCTCTGAGCTCCCACTCAGCACATTGATAAGAGATAAGCGCCCGTGGACTTCACCTTCAGATTTCTACTTTGTTGTATCCTTCCCACAAAAAAATAACAAAAGCATCTTCAATAAAAATATAAAAATGTTTACTAGTAAGAACTTTTGACTCCAATTCAAACCCCAAAAGAACGAGACAGATACCTCCTTCCACCCTCCCCCAGCCTGCCCAAGCCCAGAGGCCTCAGTCTTCAAGTATGGAGTTCAGTGCCCGCCTGCGCTTGGCCACCGCACTCTGCTGCTGCTCCCAAGCCTCTCGTCGCTTCAGGAAGGTAGTCAGGGCCACATTTCGAGCCACATGGTGGCCAAAAGGGTCTCTTATTAGCTCCTGGTTCTGTTCCCCTGCAAAGGAACGGCTCCTGTTTAGTGTCATCCCTGCTGGAAGAGACCCTGGGGCGTGAAGTCCCTCCATTTTCCTCAGACCCTGGGGCCGCCCCAGGACACAGTGAACACCTGTCTCTGCAAAGCCCAGAAGCCAGAAGTGGGGGTGGGAGCAGAGGACGGCACCATCAGCCAACAGAAGGGAAGGGGAGATCAGCGGCTCTGCACTCAGGCCCAGGGAGACCACTTTTTGGAACGGAAGTGAAGCCCACGCCCCAGCCACCCAGCCACGTGGGGTAAGAGAAGGGAAAGTCTGGGAACACCAGAGGCACGCGTACCCACCTAGCTCGGCAGCAATTTCCTTCCGGGCCCCCAGGGCTGCTCCGCTCCAGATGGCGTCTAGCACGCGGCTGCCATGGCGACTACAGGCCAGAGCCACATACTGTCCCTGCATGGAAACACCAAGGTAAGGTTCCTCCAGGGACGCCCACACCAGTGATGTTTTGAGGGGGAGGGAGGGAGAAGTTTCAGAAGAATCTAGAGGCTGGGTCAGAACAGTCTAGGAACCATGAGTCTCCTTTGGCTCTGAAAGTACCGCCCTGGGGGCAGCCATGGTCTCTGAGGAGAAGATGGCAGGGATCAAGCAGGAGTCGGAAGTCTAACCTTCAGGGTCTGTAGCACCCGGCGGCGCTGCTTGCGCGACACAGAGGGGCTGGTCAGGATGGCATCGAGCACGTGCGAACCAGCAGGGCTTTGGGCCAGCGCCAGGAGCTGCGGTCCCGTCAAGGCACTCAGACTTCGAAGTATAAGACCAGGGTTGGAAAAATGCAGCAGATGCTGAAGCAGTAGAGAGCCAAGGACTGTCACTTCCCCCAGTGCCCTGGCTGCAGCCACTTCCTCCTGGAGTACACAGATAGGAAACCACAAGGCAGTCACCAAACCAGGAGTAAGAGCCCAACCCAGGATGCTCATGGCTGCAGGAAGTTAAGGGCCTCACCACCCTCACCTCAGGGGTGAGAGGACTCCCAGGTCCCAGAGGCCTGGCTCCCAGGCAGGCCACTGCGGGCCGTCCTCTGCCTCACCTGGTGCTCCGCAGGCTCCGACCCCTCCTCCTCCATCAGTCCATAGTACACCTCATAAGCCATCAGAGTGGCAAAGAGAGGCACACAGGCCACTTGCCGGGATGCGGGCTCTGCACAGTGGAACGCCTAGAGGGGAAGACAGAGCATGACGAATGTAAGAACTACCCTACCCCTGCCCTCAACTTTCTAAACAGGAAAGACAATCAGGGCAGAGGAGAAGGGCCGGCTCCGTGGAGTGTAAGCTCCATAAGGATAGGGTCTTACCTGCCTTGCTGGGTCACCAGCCTCGAAACACACACAGGGAGAGAATAAGCATTTATCCCTAAGTACATGCTCTCTCAATCTCACTACAGAGCTGTGGGATAGCTTTCAGCCTCATTTCTCCCGGTGTCTGTGAAGACCCTCAGCACTGGCCCTCTTGGGTTCTGAGGAATAGTGCTGAAGAAGTAGCTGAGTCCTAAGGGTAGGATCTGGACCAAAGGCACAGACAGACTGCAGGTGACAGCCACTCACCTCCAACAACAGCTGCAAGACCTTGGCTTGGTGGGCCCCAACTCTACGGCAGGCTCCCACCAGGGCAACGACCACCCCTGGATGGCCCTGGGCTAGTATAGCTTCCAGGGCAGGGCTCAGCTCCTCGAACACAGGGGACAGCTGAGGGAAAAAAGGAGTAAGAATGTCTGGCGTTCTGGTCAAATCTTCCTGCTGAAAATAGTTAGTGAAAACATGAAAAGCACTGCCAACCTTAGGACTGTGTTTGGGCTGAGTAAGGCTCAGGACAAGGGGGCAGTCTCAGAGGCATCACCTCACATAGGCAGGGGACTCTAAATTTACAAGGGAGAACTAGGGGTAAGGAAAGATTAAAAGTAAATCTGCCCTTCCACCCTAACACCCAACCCATGAGACCACAGAGGTCTGCTTTGGTGCTAAGCAGCAAAAGAAAAGTGAAGCTATGGCAACAGCCCACACTCCTGGGGGTCTGCAGTCAACCAGCTCTGGGGGGCCATGCAACCGCAAACTTAAACTTGGATTAAGCCAGTCTCCTACTGGTGCTCACTCCTCAGAGGAGCCAAAACAAATCCTCTCTGAGAACAGAGTCCCTTCATCCTAAGCTCTGGATCCTAACACACTGTCATAGACATATAAGGAGAGGTAGACACGCAATAAAATAAGGCCCAATGAACAAGAACTAGCAGAAACAGACCCAATGCAGGTTTCCAACTCACCAGCTCTGGGGTAGTGACTGCATCCAGTAAGCGCTGCAAAGGGAAGTTGGCAATGGGATGTGCAGCCAGGGTCTGCAGCTGCCCCTGGAGGTGATCCTTAAAGAGGCTCTGGAGCCTTGGGGGGTCTGACACCAGCAGTACCTGCTCCAGGAGTCTGGAGCTTGTCTGATCCCGCAGAAACAGCAGCAAGGGGCTGGGGACAAGGAGAAGGGGTCAAGCAATCTTTCTCCATTTCATCCAAAATACAGTTGCACCACTTCATTCCTTTTCTTATTTTTTTTTTTTAAATATTTTTATTTATCTGAAAGACAGCTACAGAGAGAGGGGAAAGAGACAGAGACAGAGAGAAAGAGAGCTCTTCCGCTGGTTTGCTCCCTGAAATGGCTGCAACAATTGGGGCAGTGCAAGGCCAAAGCCAGGAGCCTGGAGTTTCTTCTGGGTCTCCTACGTGGGTATAGGGCCCCCAGCACTCGGGCCTCCTGCCACTACTTTCCCAGGAGCATTAGCAGGGAGCTGGATCAGAAGTGGAGCAGCCGCATCTCAAACTGGTGCCCATCTGGGATGCCAGCATCGTGGGCAGTGGCTTAACTTGCTATACCACAACACCAGTCCCAACCCCATTCATTTCACACATCCCTTCAACCTTGGTCAATCCCGAGACCCTGACCATACCTGCCATCTGCTGAGGAATTGCGAGTACTCAGATAGCCAATCACAGCATTGCAGAGACGGGCACAACACTGGGGGAGTTTGCGGTGTAAGATCTGTAAGGCTACTTGAAGGCAGAAGCTGGAGATCTTGTCAGTGATAAACACTGTGGGCAGAGGGCAGAAATGATAAAAGACATTTTCCAAAAACCAGATGACCTGCACTACTCAGACCTTAAGCAACCAGGCAGGGGGCTGCAGACAAAGAGGGCTTTGGTGCATCAAACCAGATGGAGGTTTGAAGAGGAGGAACTTGCGCTAAGAGCCTTGCTTGGTGGTAACCGCGGATCTAGCCACTCCCCCTAGTTCCCTCCTCACCAGCAATGTCCTTCAGAAAGCAGGAGCTCAGGTCCTGAAGGCAATTCAAGAAGGCTTCAGGAACCTCAAACTCAGCTGGCTTGCACTCTCGAGCTGGGGCCCTTTGCGCTTCTGGAGCAAGATCAAGAACACGCACAGTGATGAGGTCACAAACTGCCACCCAGGGGAAAGAACACTTCCACAGATGAACAAGGACCCAGCTTGGAGATGCAGAACTGATGTGATACAAATGAACCCTCTCCTCTGGAGGGCTGAACTGACACAACATTTCTAACGCATCTGAGAAACTTTGCCCGGTCCCCCATGACCCACAGAAGATAATTTAAGCTCCTCAGCCAATATCAAGGCATTCCAAAATCAGGCCTCACTTCACTCTCAAACCTTACTTCCTAGAGTTTTTCAAAATACAAGTCATAGCTTATGACTGCATCATAAAATCAAGTTAGTGGTCTTCACTTGCATTTTTCTTAATAGAGCAAAATAAAACGAGACAGGAAAGAAGAAGACATCAGAGTAGGCTGCGTGTCGTAAGCAGAGAATTTTCTCTTGGACTCTTGTCTTATCCCAATATGTGCACATACCCATACACACTCACATGCATGTCGAATCACGTTAAATTAAAAAAAAATTAACCAATTTCTGGGGCGGAGTCGAGCCTAGCAGTTAAGCCCACATCCCATAGCAGAGTGCTTGGGTTCAGTACTCGGCTATAGCTCCTGATCCAGTTTCTTGCTTAACGCAAGGAGGAGGCAGCAGTGATGGCTTGGGTAGTTGGGTTCCCACCAACCAGTGAGAGACCCGGATTGAGCTGCTGGCTACCAGCATCCTCCTTCGCTCAGTCCAGCCACTGTGGTCACTGGGGAGTGAACCTCAAACACTATCACCTTGGCTCTCAAATTTAAAACAACAACAATAAAATTTTGTTTCTTACTATAAGTAGGGGTTTAAAAAAAAAAGATTGAAATCCACTGGGGCAGGCGCTATGGCATAGCAGGTAAAGCACCAGCTGTAGCACCAGCATCCCATATGGGCGCCGCTTTGAGCCCCAGCTGCTCCACTTCCGATCCAGCTCTCTGCTGTGGCCTGGGAAAGCAGTGGAAGATGGCCCAAGTCCTCGGGCCCGTGCACCCACGTGGGAGACCCAGCAGAAGCTCCTGGATCCTGGCTTCAGATCAGCACAGCTCTGGCCATTGTGGCCAACTGGGGAGTGAATCAGTGAATGGAAAACCTCTCTCTCTCTCTCTCTCTCTCCCTCTCCCTCTCCTTTTCTCCCTGTGTAACTCTTTCAAATAAATAAAACTTTAAAAAAATAAGAATTAAAAATAATAATAAAAAAAAGAAATCCATTGCTCTGTGTGAATTGCCTCCTCCTGCCTTCATCCTAATAGCTGTCCCCTAAATATACCTACACCCTTACCTCTGGGCCTCTGCACACACTAACCTTTGAC